CTCTCTCTCTCTCTCACTCTCTCTCTCTCTCTCTCTATCTCTCTTATCTCTATCTCTCTCTCTCTCTCTATCTCTCTCTCTCTCTATCTCTCTCTATCTCTATCTCTCTCTCTCTCTCTCTCTCTCTCTCTCTCTCTATCTCTCTCTCTCTCTATCTCTCTCTATCTCTATCCTTCTCTCTCACTCTCTTCTCCTCTCTCCTCTCTCTCTATCTCTCTCTATCTCTAATTCTCTCCTCTCTCTCTCTCTCTCTATCTCTCTCTCTCTCTCTCCCTCTCTCTCTCTCTCTCTCTCTCTTCTCTCTCTCTCTCTCTCTCCCTCTCTCTCTCCTCTCTCTCTATTCTCTCTCTCTCACTCTCTCTCCCTCTCTCTCTCTCCCTCTCCCTCTCTCTCTCTCTCTCTATCTCTCTCTCTCCTCCCTCCCTCCTCCCTCCCTCCCTCTCTCTCCTCTCCTCTCCTCCCTCCCTCCCTCTCTCTCCCTCCCTCTCCCTCTCTCTCTCTCTCTCTCTCTCTCTCTCTCTCTCTCTTTGTAAAATATTTAGTCTATTTTTCCTCTTTCCATTCTCGTCTCTTTGGCTCTCGTCTTTTCCTTCCCTCCTCTCCTCTCCTCCGCTGTCTTTCATTTCAAGAAGAGTGAAAGGAGGCAGCAGACATCTTGACGTGTTTACTCACAGCCCTCAGGCTTCGGCTTACACACACACACACACACACACACACACACACACACACACACACACACACACACACACACACACACACCACATCACATATCTTTGATCGCCTCGTAATGATCCTGGCAAGGTGCAGCGATACGACAGATCTAATCACTCTGTAATAACCTGAACAAGACACACACATGAACACACACACACACACACACACACACACACACACACACACACACACACACACACACACACACACACACACACACACACACACACACACACAGACTTGAGATCAGAGTGATAGTAGTATCTGTGTAGGAGGCACTCATACTAACATGCACACACACACACAGATGCTGCTCAATTACTGCCACCAGGTGTGTGTGTGTGTGTGTGTGTGTGTGTGTGTGTGTGTGTGTGTGTGTGTGTGTGTGTGTGTGTGTGTGTGTGTGTGTGTGTGTGTGTGTGTGTGTGTGTGTGTGTGTGTGTTTTGCAGTTCAAAATGAAATATTCAGGAAGTATGGATGCATGCCAGCACACACAAACACACACACGGACACACAAACACACACAACAACACACACACACACACACACACACACACACACGGACACACACACCTGAGAACTCCAGATTTTCTCTTGTTCTTTAAGATGCTGATTTTAACATCCAGCCTTCTAAATCCTGAAAATAAAAATAAAAACCTGTGTCAGTCAGTCTTTCTGTTCCGTAGTTATACACCTTTGAAGTTGTTTATCCTCTTGAAATAGACTCATCACACACACACACACACACACACACACACACACACACACACACACAAATGAAAACGCATTAAATCTGTCTGACTGACGCATAGATGCCGAGCAGAGTCGTCTGGTTTACCTGCAGAAAAACACAACAGCATGAAAACAGGAGAAATTAGGAAATATGAAAATTTGAATGAGTATTTATATATGGGAGAAAGATGTTGGAAGGGGATGACTTTCAGTAAAGGGTGGAGGTCAGATTTGAACCCATAGCCTCTGTACATTGGGCGTGCAACATGACCGCTCGGCTATCGGCCCCCCTTACATTTCTCTCTTGATACAAAATGTATCCACCCGCCTAGACTTTGAAACATCCGTGTGATGGAAGATCAGATCGAGAAAACAAAAAAAAAATACTGTAGCTGCAGGTTTTTGGTGTGTGCAGGTTGTCAGAGAGTGAATCAGTGTGTGAGCAGGTTGTGTTTTCACGGACGCAGTGTGTGAAGCTCTCTCTCTCTCTCACAGTGATCAAAGCGTTGCAGAGACGAGACACCGAGGATGGTGCAGTTTATTTGTAAAAAACCTGGAAGGGTTATCTGTAAAAGTAGAGAAACTCGATAGATTACATGTTACCACGTCTGATGCATAACGGAACCAAGCTGTGTTAATATGTTTTTGTTTTAAAACATGCGCTTTAAGAGAGATTACACCTGCTAATCCTTCATGCTCTACTCGACCGTCTCTTACTCTGAGACTCTGAGAGCTGCAGCTGACCATGTTTCAGTGTGTAGTTGAATTATTCTTTTATTATTCTAAATTTGCAAGAACATAGCATCTTAAAAATAATGACAGCCACCCATACTCACCTGCTGATTGTGTTTTATCAGTCATCAATCCTGTTGTTGAAAAATGGAAGCTGAAGTGCAAAAAAAACTGCAGTTCATCGAGTGTCCACTTGAGGCAGAAATAATGCAAAATGTCCATCATGAGACTACAGCGTACTCTCACAAAGGGCGACAGCAGAGGTTTTATGTTTCCTCCTCCAGTTTTTTTTTTTACATTATAAGTCTGATTCTAAATTTGCAGGATCGTAGACTTTTAAAAACAATGACGCCGGTCAACATGTCCCGTACAAGCAGAAATCCCAAGGTTGGAAAAATGAAGCCAATAATGCAGAAGTGCCAAAAAAAAAAACTGCAGTTCATCGAGTGTCCACTTGAGGCTTGCTGCATAAGACAATGAAGTCACACACACTCATTAAAAAAAGCTCGTCTTTTTACAGCGGGCAAAATGTGAGAGGTCCATCATGAAACTACAACGTACTTAAAGTACAACAGCAGAGGTTTCATGTTTGTCCTTCAGGATTTTTTTTATTTGATAAGAGCTGCTAACCCGAACATTTTTAATGAAAATGTAAGAAGTTTTCATGAAGTTTGCAGACAGTGGATGCTGTTTACTCTCTGTAGTTACTGAATCCTTCATTTTGAAATTGACCATCTTGTTGCATCTTATTTTTTTTTTAAGTTTAATTCATGTTAAAAGTTTTCTCAGTCAAATAAACAACATGATCAATGTCTAAAATAGTGCTAACAGATGATTGTTTGTATAACGTGTTTGATAAGATGGTGTAACACTCTCTCTCTCTCCTCTCTCTCTCTCTCTCTCTCTCTCTCTCTCTCTCGCCCGCCCCGTGCAGCGACGGCTCGGGAAGGTCCGGCACCTACATCCTGATCGACATGGTCCTCAACAAGATGGCTAAAGGTGGGTGCTCCTCCTCTTATGCCCCCTTCCTTCTTTCTTCCTTGTATTGCCTTTTGTATTATTTAGACCCGTTACCATGACGACATGCACTCCAAAAGGCAAAAAAAAAAAAAAAAAACACACTAAGGTGTAAAAAATTGCAAAAACACTGCCGTCCAAATATTATCGCTGTCATGAAATGAATTTAGCAATAATTAAATTGGATGTTAAGGACGATGATGAGAAGGTGAAAATTGACGTTTTCTATTAACACAAAAAACGGCCAAATCACAGGCGACAGTTTGGATTAATTACCGCTAATTAATATCTGTTTCATTATCTCAGTTGATGATAAGTCGCTCTGGCACCATACTGCGGAGGTTTATTCTCTCCTGTTGTGCCACTCGAACACATTAGAACCCTTTCAAAATAAAATACAAATCAAGAAATGTAACTGGATGAGTTAAAAAAAAAAAGAGAGAAAGAGAGAGAGGGAGAGAGAGCAATGAGATAATTTGTTGGCAGAAAGTTTAGAGACAGAGAAGTTTTCAAAGTGTTTTAAAATGAAAGCAGAGGTGAATTTGAAAAGTTGAATGTGTTATGAGTACATTTTAAGCACACTGTGATTACACTTTAATGACTGTAATTAGAGCGTGTTATCATAAACACAGAGAGCTAATCACGCAGGGAGCTCAGACTTTTCACGGGGCGGTATAAGAAGTTCCCGACATGAAGTCAAATTAAGTGTCATTACCTAAAAGTTCTGTCTCTGATTAAGCTGGCGACACACTGGACCGTTTTTAAATCTCCACCAGTTTTTAATAACGTGGGAGGCCACAAACATGAGGACGGCTTTAAACGATTTTTAACTTTAAGATATTCAGTGCAGCAGAAGATACGTTTGTGTTTTGGCGTCTGAGGCTGAGCACGAGTGCTGCAGGTCAGAGCTCGCCATGAAGGAGCGGAGGGGAGAGGTCGGACATCTTGCAGCTTAGGTAGACGGCTAATTGGAAGGAGGGGATGTCGGAGCTGGAGACTGAGGCATGTCGAGGGTGAAACCAGCTTCAGATCACTGCCTGACCGAGGGAGAGACCACACACCTTCAGTTTGTAGAAAGATTTAACAGACGCAAGATCTCATAGAAAATAGTCTTTAGTATTCATTTATTTATTTATTTATTTATTATTCATTTATAACATATTAAACAAATAACAAAAGAGACAACATTCAGTGCAGGAAGAGGCAGAAAACTCAAAGAGTTGATTTTGAAGCCTTCACCTAAGTAATCCTAAAATATCACCAAATTAAAGAAAACATAATTAAGATGCAGAAAAGAATATGAACACAGATATGTAGAAAACATGAATACAATATGGAGGAAGATGGACGTCATCAGCTGGCTTTCCTCCTGTGTTTGATTTTGCAACGATAAAAAAAAACAGAAAACAATGAAAACAAAGCAGGTGAAATCCTGGCTGAGAAGTCGGATTGTTATTTAACTTGCAGTGCAAGGTGAGGATGACGCTTCCATGTCTGCTCGCTCTCATTGGCTGCTGCAGGTATTCCAGCGGAGGCAGTCCGACCTGGATTTTTGGGATTTATGATTCCAGATCGAGGAGGCTCTGACTCGATCATCATAATCGAAGTTATACCACACACTAATTATTTATTTATTTATTTAGAGAAGCTGCATATCAGACCACGCCCCCTGATCGTTGAAGGGGCGAATCAGGGCTCACCATCCGGCCTAAAATCGTCCAATGTGACGCCAACGTTATGTTTAGTTATGAGGAATTTAAATATATATCAACACAAGTATTTAGACCTAACTCAGTGTCTATGATGTCATGCTTACATGCAGTTTTCTGTCATGTAGTCCATTTTTTAAACTCAAGTTTTTTCCTAAGGCGAGTTTGTTCATAGAGCACTGTTCATACATAGATTAACTTGAAGGGTGTTTTCATGGTTTAAAACAGAGAATCAGCATTAAAACATTATTAAACAAAAAAACAGACATTTAAATGCAAAATATATTCAAACCAGCCGAACTCACATTCACACCTACCAGGAATTGAACTGTAACGATGCTGACTGAAAAGCTCGGGTCCAAACTCACTAAACGGAGGTCATGTGTGTGAAAGTGAGAGTGTGTGAAAGTGAGAGTGTGTGAAAGTGAGAGTGTGTGAAAGTGAGAGTGTGTGAAGTGAGAGTGTGTGAAACTTTGTGTGCTGCTGTAGCAGAACGAGCTCCTGGGTCTTTAATTCCAGATCAAAGGGTCAGCCAGGGATGAGGGGCCTCACGAGCCCCTCCTCTGGACCAGGGGGGGGGGGGGGGGCTGGCAGGAGTTTGTGGATGTGAGAGAATTTAGAATAAGATTTAAGTCGTCTGGTTTGATCTTGATGTGATTCCAACATTTGTAATCAAATTTGTAAAACTTTGTCTCGTCATGTGTGCTGGAAATGAGGAGCATGCTCAGAACGGCCACTTTGGGGCTGACTGAGGTGTATACATGCAAGTGTAGGTGTTTTTTAAAAGTCCAGTTTTAGTCTGAGTCAGTGGCGCCGCCAGGATTACATTTCATCAGTGCATGTAGGACACTTTTACCTTCTGGGTTTCAACGTACACATGCAAGATCACTGCGACTGAGCGAGCGAGAGAGAGAGAGAGAGAGAGAAAGCCAGTGCACTGATGCTGCTCATACGACCCTAAAAGTTGAATTCACACTTGTCTTTTATGAGTTTGTCTCGTGAAAATTAAATCTGCATGAAGGTTCATAAAAAATCTCTTCCTGGAGAAAACGGCAGTCTCTCTCACCAGTACGTCCTGAACTCCGCCCCTCTTATTTTGGAGGTTTTTTTTGTCCGTCCTGAGAAGCTAGAGGCCCCCCAGGTTTGCAGGCTTCCCCCCGTCCTCATCAAAGACTCTTCCCTCCTCCTCCTCTTCCTCCTCCTCCTCCTCCTCCTCCTCTGAAGGAATGAATTGTAAATTGCGTATTATGGCGGTGTTGCAGGGTTGAGGAGGTATTGCTGTGGTTCTCACACGTCTTCTACTTCTCCCTCCCTCTATAATGTAACCCCCCCCCCCACTCCCTTACACCACCTCCTCCTTTCTCCCTCCTCTTCATCGTAAGAATAGGAATGAAACCCATCGAGGGTCCGTGGAGCTTTTCAGCATCCCTGCATTTCTTTTTCTTTTTCCTCGGCTCCGTCTTTCAGGGTCTTTTTACGGCCTCCTCAAGGACCCCTGTAATTCTCTCAACCCCCTCCTCAGTCTCTACTCCGCGACCTCCACCCTGAAGCCAGGCTCTTGCAGAGGAGGGAAGTTCAAAATGAGGGCAGACTTTTTTCATACCATTCCTCTTCTTTTTTTTTTTGCATTTGCAAAAGAGGGAAAGCTTGAAAAAGGCGTTTTTTTTTTTTTTTGGGGGGGGGGGTTTCAACGCGTCCATTTGGGGTTTAACAGAACCTGCACAATAGCCCTCAGCTTGTTAAGTCCTCTACCAAGAAGAAGAAGAAGAAAAAGAAACTACAGCAGCCAGTAGTGTGTTGCAGATTTTCCTGGCTAGATGGGGGTCTATTGTGTGGCAAAGAGAAGAAGGAAAAAAAAAAAAGCTCACAAAACCTGTGAAACAGAATAAGAAAACGGTGAGAATGAGCGGCTCTCCCACCATTCATTTCCCTCTTCATGCAGGGGAGTAAAAGACGTGTTATTATGTGTCACAACAAGAGCGAAGAAAAAGGGAATTCTTGCGCTTTTTTGTTTCCTCGGGATTCAGAGGAGGAGGAGGAGGAGGAGGAGGGGGAGGAAGAAGAGAGAAACGACCGGACAGAAAACAAATTCTGTGTTTTTCCATCTTTTCTTTCTCTAAATGTAAATCTTTTTCCCTCTTCTCTTTTCTTCCCCAGGCTTCATGTTACAATGAGATGTCTTCCTTTACTGTTAAAGTCGTCTCTGGTGTTTTTAGCCAAGCAGAGTCTTGATTTTTCACACATTTGGGCCGTCTAATTGGTCAAGAAAATTGCTTTAGCTTTCTGTAAGATAAGTCACAATCGCTGCGATTAAACCAAATACGGCCAATCAAAAGTGTTTATTTTTTGTATCTGACGGGCTTCATGTTTTTATTGAAGTGTCTGAAAATTCTGCAGAAAGGATCCATACAGAGATAAACTGTTTTTTTTTAAGGCTAAGATCCTTCAAAAACATCGAATCAGACGTGAAAAGGCTCTCTTAAAAACCCGCCAGACTTGCAAAATCATTTCTTAATAGAACATGAAACTCCTAAAAAAAAAATGGCATCAAACTTCCTTTAGTATTTCCTGGACTTGTTTGTGAAACTCCTTTCTGGAGTCTACTCAAAGCACACTTTACACCGCAGGCGATTATTTACTCCATTGGGACCCTCGGCAAAAGTCCTTTGGGGGGCCCCTCGAACCAGCGTTCATCACCGTGATGTCTGCGAGTGTCCCGAAGCTTACTCCTCTTTCTCTTTCCACTCCCAGACTCATCGACAAACTTTGGTTTTCACAGAAATCATTGCATGCGACACATGGCAGAGCAACGAGATGGAGTGCCGCCCAACCTTAGGGGGGTTTCCGACTGTCATTGCAAAATTTGCACATTTTGAGCCACAGCTTTGGTTTAAAGTTTGTCACAGCCCTCAGGGGGGCCCTCTTACTGGCCTTGCCCCCCCCCCCCCAAGTACTGACAATCAGCACATTCACACACTGATAGCAGAAAGTGTCCATCAGTTTAACTCTTCAGTGACCTTAAAGCATTTCTCTTTTTGGTGAAGATTTGACTCGCAGTGACCTTAAAGAGTGAGAAGCGACACGGACAGTGACCATCAGTATAAACTCCTCCCGTTGCTGACGAAGCAGTGGGAGCAGTTTGGTGCGTTCTGTGTCTTTCAAGGACACGTTGAAGTGGGCGTATCGTCACTGAACAGAGTAATGAATAAACTTTTGGAGAGATGATACACTGGAGATGCAGATGAATGCTTTAGTTTGTCTCTCTAAAAGGACTCTAATCTGTTTTTAATGACTCACATTGTCTGATAATCTGACCAGTGATTGGCTCGAGGTCATACAGCAGCCAAACTGGTCTCAGCTGTGGGGCTTATTACCTGACTCTGGCACAAAGACAGGCTAAATATTAAGCGAGCCACACACACACACACATTCACACACAGGCATGCCAGATTTTTGGCAGTGGCCTGCAGAGCTTTGAAGGTGGATCAGGAGCTCAAAGGCGACAGGAAAACTATCCAGAATCAGCTCAGTTTTCTTTTAGAAACATGTTGACAGTGATCTCCTCTCCAACTGTTTCTTTTGCCTCTTTTTATCACCCGGTCACATGAACACCACCATCGAGCTGTTTGTGGAGTCAGTGAGTGTGTTTGTGTGTTCACAGAGGATGAATGTAATCACCTTCTTGCTGCCTCTGTTTTAAAGGGCGACTGTATAAAATATCAGATGACAGATGTTAGCTGGATTATCTTTGTAGCGTTTTGAACACAGTCCAAATCCCATGTTTATAAATGTGTGTGTGTGTGTGTGTGTGTGTGTGTGTGTTTGACAGGTGCCAAGGAGATTGATATTGCAGCCACACTGGAGCACCTGAGGGACCAGAGGCCGGGAATGGTTCAGACCAAGGTAACACACACACACACTCATATACACTGATAATATCTTCATAAAAGGTCATTTTATGTGTCAAATAAACAAATCATGAATTTAAAAAGTACACACAAGGAAGGGAGATTTTTAAATATACAGCGGGGGAGCCTGTGTTTTTGGCAGTGAAGCACAGAACTGAATTTTGAAGCGCTGCTGGCCTGGTGATTAGTTGGGGCGCCCCATGAGCGGGGGCTGTGGTTCTCCAGGCGGTCGACCCGGGTACAGGTCCGACCTGTGGCTCCTTTCCCGCATGTTGTTCCCCACTCTCTCTCTCTCACAATCCACTGTCCTGTCTCTAAATAAATGCATGAAAAGCCCAAAAATAAATCTTAAAAAAAAGTAGAATCTGAAGTTTCTCAGCTTCTTGTCACCTACTAAACTTTTGATTCTCGTTTTTTTTTTTTTTAAAGTGACATCACTATTTTTGCTGTTTTGAGTGTTCTAGCATGGTGCCAATCTACGTGCTATGTCGAGTTGGTTTTGCCATTTGTGTCATTCAACAGTCTCTTGCAGTTTCTTTGCCCACACACTTCATCCATGTCTTTCCACGCCTTTTTATTTTCTTTAACGTTGAACAAGAGAAGCAGATACTGCCCTCTTCTGGTTAAAGAAGAGAATCACACTATCATTTTTGTCTCATTGATTTAAATTGTCCTTTTTTTTTTAATTGTATCATTACGCTCCACCTTTTTGATGCGGCCGTTTCGAGCGCTCAAGTTGAAAATCTTTCAGCTTTTCAGAAAGGCGCTTATGATGTCACCTGCGCTCTTTTTGACGCCATTTGTGTTTCTTTACTCACATCCTCTTAGCTCCCGTGTCTGACTGGGAAATAAACGATCTTAAATATAAAAAAATGCAGTAAAAAGTAACGGAGCAGTGCTGGTCATACAGCGGCCGTGCAGCACTCTTATTCTCAGCGCACAAACGCTTCATGCAAACACTCCCGAGCTCACAGCCAGCGCTTTTTCTGCCCGAAAAAAAAAAAAACTGCTAGGTGAACACCGAGCCTAACAGGTCACTCATGTATGACTTTGCGAAACAGGAGAGTCTGCAGAACAAAGTTTGCGAGAGAGATCGTCTCTTCAGATGTCATCTCTTCATTTCTGAATCAAAGTTTAGTCCTTGACAGCTGCTGGAAGAAAAACCTGTGACCTTCACTTCACAATCATGTCTCTAAAAAAAATCAGTCACACCTCTTTTATTCCAAAGTCTATCGTGAGCTGATATTCCTCCTGCTCCCATTGTGTGATTCGCTGGATTAGCAGGTTTTTTTTTTTTTTTTTTTTACGGGACTCATCTCCCCCCGTCAGGCGAGATCAATCGATTTCTGAGAAGTAATAAAGCAGGTATTAAAGTCAGGTCTGATGAGATCACAGAGGAATATGTATGGAATTCAAAATGGGTGTTAATAATCTGTTCTTAAACCGGCTTCAAGGCTCTCAGAAGTTCTGTGACAGTCTTTTACTTTTATGAAGTGAATGGAAAAAAAAGAAACCTTGGCGAGTGTAGTGAAGTTTTTTTACTTTTAATCCACTTTTTGATTATTTGAAGGGTGCATAATAGAGGTAATGAAAGTCAAACAGAAGACAGAAAGTCCTTCATTGATGCAATATTCTTCTATTTGAGAAAAGGGTCCATTAGCCGCATGATTTATTCCTCTGTTAAAGACACTTCTGCCCAACCTGAGAGACCTCCGAGCTTTACCTCAAACTGCTCTCTCCTCATCTCTGCTCTCTGCCTGGTGATCTCGGGGTCAGTCTGGTACACTTCAATTACCGGGCTGATCTGTGAACATAATTAGAAAGAAAAAACCAGGATGTGTGTACAACATCCGCTGTATCGATCCAGGACTTTATTAAACCATGCATCCTGAGAGAGGAGCTGCTGTCACGGCGCTCGCTCTCACATTGATTCCCCTCATGGTCAGCGCTTCCTGTCATCGGCGCTCGGATTTCATTTCTGGTTTTGATAAGAGAAGACGCCGTCTTCCATGTAATGGTACAATAAATCCAACGTTAACCATGACTAAATCTGCCTTATCATTAATTCTAACTATAGTGGTTTACACGGCGAGTGTTTACCAGTTTACCAAAAGGTCGTTTCAGTGCGGTCATTAAAATCAAATTAATGGATGAAAATGGTTGCTTGTGCAACACCGTTCAGCGAGGTCTTCCATCAGCGTTCACCTTTTAAAGAGAACATTATAATTAATTGTTGAATATGCAGCGGAGGGGTGAGGAAGTTTCTCAGCCTTAAGTATAGTGTCTGCACTGTTTCAGTACTTTTAAATGCCTTCCTCTCTTTCTCTCCTTGTCTTTGTTTTCCCTGCAGGATCAGTTTGAGTTCGCACTGACAGCTGTTGCAGAGGAGGTGAACGCCATCCTGAAAGCTCTTCCACAGTAGAGCACAGAAAGAAGCACCTCCTTCTGTCTCATCTGGAGGACAGTCCCAGCTATAACCTCCTGTTGTTTCCACGTCCCATCTGCTCAAGTTTATTTGTTGTCTCCACTCCCTCCTTTCCTCTTTTTTCCTTTTTTCATGTTTCCATTTTTTTATCCAAGTTTTTTCCAGTTTCTGGAACAAGTCCAGTTGTTTCTTCTTCTCTCCTCTTTTCCCCTCCCTTCATGTGGTCTTCTATCTTTACCTCCCTCGGTTCTTGTTCCCGCCTTCTTCTTCTTCCTCTCTCACCTCTCCTTGATTGTCTCCTCTCCTCTCCTCCTCTCCTCTCATGAATGAGCCGTCCTCTTTTTTCCATCTTAGTAAAGAAATTGTGCCAGGAATCCATTGAACCAGTCTTGTACATAGATAGACCTTCCTTCTATTGTAATGATCCATGCAGTTTGGTTTTATTCCAAAGTGACATTTAAACACATTTATATTGAGAGTGATTAAAGTGTTTCAGTGTATGTATCATCGTTTCGTTAGGGTTGATGAATGAGGGTTGACATAAGGGGCGTCAGTAGGCTAGGGACCTTGATGACCTTAGATGTCACTAAGGTTAGATCTATCTAAGGTTCAGATAAATCAACACGTCCATTATTCTAGATTTTGACTGACAAATGAGGAATCCAAGGGGGGGAAATAAAGAAGTGGGGGAGTAATTATGAAATAAAAATTCCTTATTTGTAGCCCTAGATATAATAACACTATCAACCAAACAATGTTTAATGTTGGTATGACGCCAATTGACGCCCTTGAAAGGTCTTCTTTGGTCAGTGTGTGGACGATGTTTATCATTATAAAATCATATTTGCGTCTGAGTTTAAGTGCTGTGCTTTCTGATATATTTTAATGCAGCATGTTGGAGTGTCAGAGTTGGTCAGTAAGGTCAAAGTGAGTACCAAACAAGTACTGCTTTTTAACAGGAAGCGACACACAAAATTGCAAGGAGGAGGTTGTTTCAGACTTTGTGGTGACTTCTTGAAACATCTGCAATGTCGCTTATTTAAAGAAAACTAAAAAAAAAAAAAAAGATGCTGGATGAAGTTAAACAACACCTATGATTTTATGTCATTGTATAAATTCCATTATCCTAGTGGAAGCAATATTTGTGTTCCTTCAACCTGAACCGTTATCTCTTGTGGATCGCAGATATTGTGGTTTGTCAGTGAAGTTACACTCATGTCTGCCTTAATAAAAACACAGTAGATGGGATGATGACATTCTTTCCAGCCACGTGAAACAAGGTCAGTGTGCAACGCTTCATTTTTTAAAATGGCCTTCTTCCAGCGTATTAACTCGTGGACTGAAGGTTTTGCCGTGCTGCTTCTTAATGGAAAACCCTTCTGATGATAAGCACTGCAGTCTTTAATAATCTCAGGGCAGAGAGTTTCCTCCTGTCCAAAAGTTTGTCAAAGTCTTGGAGTAATTTTGACGGCAGTGCTCGCGCGCTCTTACATTATTTATAACAATGGAATGAGGTCATTATGAAATCAAGTGTTTCACACGGGCACGGAGGGTATAGTCTTGCTTTCTCAATAGCGAGTTCTTCTATGTAGCATTTAAGGATTATTTGTACATGTACAGTAGCTGAGCTTGTGTTGCATTTAAAACTAGTTTGCAGTGACGCTTGTCTGCTGGTTTTCCCAACATTATCTCCAGAATAAATGGATTTTGTTCTTTCAAAAATGATCAGAGCAACATTTAAGACCATTTATCTTCAATAACGTACACTTTACATCACTGCTAACCAACAGTTTTCTTGTATTGCATGCCGATATCCCAGGTTTCCATTGGTTTAGATTTGTTTCCATTGGTTTCCATTGGATTCCATTGGTTTAGATTGGTTTCAAATTGTTTCCATTGGTTTAGATGGTTTCCATTGGTTTAGATTAGTCTCAATTTGTTCCCATTGGTTTCCATTGGTTTAGATTGGTCTCAATTTGTTCCCATTGGATTCCATTGGTTTAGATTGGTTTCAAATTGTTTCCATTGGTTTCCATTTGTTTAGATTGGTCTCAATTTGTTCCCATTGGTTTCCATTGGTTTCAAATTGTTTCCATTGGTTTCAGTTGGTTATGATTGGTTTCCATTGGTTAAGATTGGTTTCAATTTGTTACCATTGGTTTCCATTGGTTTCAAATAGTTTACGTTGGTTTCCATTTGTTTAGATTGGTCTCAATTTGTTCCCATTGGTTTCCATTGGTTTCAAATTGTTTCCATTTGTTTCCATTGGTTTCTATTGGTTAAGATTGGTTTCCATCAAATCCTCATAAAACCTTACGATGATTGATTTTATTATGTTACTGTTTCATGCATAAACAATATACCCAGTCCAAAATAAGCATGTTAATGCATGACACAATAATAATATAAAATCAATAGTCAATAATCAATCATCTTAAGGTTCTATGATGAAATAACCATGGCCAACTTATAAATATTGAAATTAAACAACCGCTCCCTCCTGATGTCATCGGAGCTCCAAAATATTTCAGGATTTTGAGCGATTTATTAAAGGTGTTCTTAACTCATCATAAAAGGACGATATAAGATCATTAGATTCTCCTGAATCACATAGTTCACACAGTCTGTGTTCCTATGGGATGTTTTTTTTTAAATCTCCCGACTTCTAGAGCCAGAGGAAAGATTCCTGATCTCACCTTATCTTTGAGAACATCATACTCTTAACTTGAACATTTCTAACCAGCATGAACCAATCAATTATCAGGAGATGAATTTGGGAAACCAGCTCACAGTTTGTGTCAAATTAACTTAGTGTCACTGCTTTCAATTGGCTGACAGTAAATGGACAGTTTCAAAGTCTCTATTGGTCAGAGTCTAGTCGTTTGTCCAATCTTTGTTGAGTCACTTATAATATGACTTGCATACACTCCGCTACTAGTGCATGGCTTTGTATCCAGCAGAAACGTGTGCTGTTCTTTGTGGCCTTCGAGGCGATCTTAGCAAAACTTTCAAAGCAAACAAACAAAATATGTATTGCGCGAGAATTCTCCAAGAACCTTAAAAAGTGCAAAAGCCAAGGATTATCATCTCTAAACTGTGCAGATCGCGTTTGAAGCGAGTTGAAAGGTGGTGCAGTATCAATATGATGCAACACTGCAGCAAGCTGGTGTCATGTTGTTGGAATCGACTCCATCTTTTTTTTCATCACAATGTTAAAAACACGCTGCAAGAAATGCTCCTTACAACAGCCTGATTCATGCAAATTCAACCTTATCATTTATGATCTCCGTCATGTATGTTAGAAGAATGAAACGACATTACAAATATATGATTCTAGTTTCCATTTGACATGTGAGTAAAAAGCTAAACTTGTTAGAATGAGCATATTCCCTAATGCTGTTCTCTCTTCACACTCCATCGACATCACTAGATGGCTGGTCTGACACATTACCACTGTACATAAACCACAAAGTAAAAGCATAAAAAAACAGAAGATATTTTTGTTCTATTGGTGTAAACAACTTGTGAATAAAGTCTCATTGTTGATGCAGTATTGTAACGCAATCCTGACTTGTGAGTTCTGTGTCTCTTCTTTTTTTTTCCCACCGTCTCACCATAATCCAACATTTAATTTATGCTTGGGATGCAATTATATACAATCATGTGCACCGTCTTGGTGGGTGGTGAAACATCTGTTTTATGAAGGAGCACAGACTGCTTGATGCATTTTAAATCAGACGGGGTTGGGCGTGATACAAGCGACATCCTGAAGCTCATCTTTCACTGTACAACAACTTTATTACTCATTCAGTTACAGTTCCTCTTGAACAACTACTTCTTTCACAAGACAAGTAATCCCAAGCAAATATAAACTGTTTATATATATATACATACTGTACATATTAGGGCTGTCAGCATTAGCTAGTTCATCGCAATTAATTAAAGGCAGGGTTGGTAGTTTTCTAAAACTAGCATGATTTTAAAAGTAGCATTCCCTCAGTGCTCTGTCTGCACCCACCCCCCTCCCCTCTCTGCTCCCTCAGAAGCCACGCCCCCTCACTTACATGCACGAGTCAATGTGCATTAATTTCTGTCAGGACTAAAGACAATTTCAACCCAAATCTTAAAAAGTGTATCAGGAGAAAATGACCAACCCTGCCTTTAAGGTCTGGAATTATTGCATTCATTTATATATTTTTAATCTCATGTTATTTTGTCCCTTCAGGCTCTCCGTAGATAGTGGTCCTCAGTGTCTCCCTGTAGTCTCAGTGATGTAAAAGAAGGACACTGCTGCATCTTTGAATGTCTCATTTCACTTTAACAAACTCTCAGACAGCTCAGCTGACGAGTCCAAAGTAATATCCACCTTATGACATCACACATTGACCTTTGTTACCGTTCCTTTGAGCTGTTTGATGTCAGTTTGGGATCCCTATCCACTTCCTGTTTCTGTGCTTAAGTTTATGTCCTAACCTTCACTCTACCAGAAGGTCCTTACTTTATTTCAAAATAAAAGCAGTGTTGAATACAAACTGCATGTAAAGTACTCTCAGCTTAAGACAGTATAAAACTTCAAAATAAAAGACAAAAAAATTGTATTTTAAATAATAGAATTTCAGACATTAAAAATTAAACTTATTGCGATGAAATTCAAAGTTAACGATTAATCGTGAGTAAAAAATGTAATAATTTGCCAGCCCTTATACATATAAATACACATTTCATTCTGAAATCACACTTCTGGAGATTCACAAAGGTTTTTCTCATATTTTGTCCTCGCTTGTTCATGACATAGTCCGTGTGAAACGTACAGATTGGGACAGACATTCTGTGACTGTTCGGTGATCAATAAAAGGTGCCGTGGACATTGTGACTCATCGCCTCTGAAATGTCATCGTTTCTCTCTGAATGATAATCAAGCACGCTCACTCGCTGTCATCACACGGTCGTTTTTATAAACAGCGTCTTTATGTGAGGGTTTACAGCACCCATTAAAATAATACCCACTAATAAAATCACATTTATAAAAATGGCTCACCTGGGAGCAGACGAGCCGTCACTCAGCGGTTGAGTACTCGTCTAAAAGGCACATACGGGCTTAATGGCTCAGTTTGGAGTGACATTCACACGGTGAGATCTGGCGTCCTGACAGAGATAACATGAAACAAATGACAAAGACCTTTCAGGTATCAGTACGTAAAGCTCCTGTGGGTTTGTGTCTAGAGGAATTCCGACTTCAGAGGGTCGTTCCCAATGACGTATCAGCCCGGTGACACGACTCGACCCAGTCTTTAGTCTTATCCTCTGGATTTGTTCGCAGACTGTCTTTGCCTTGCTGTGTGTCTCACCTTAGCTCCCTCGGAGTCTAAGTGTGACTCCATAATGTGCTTATCTTTGTGTCATTAGGAAACAGGAAGCATGTAGTGACACTCTATAATGCAATCTTTATTAAAAATGATGCAGGAAGTGATCTTGTGACATGAAAAGCCTCTTTCAAAATACAGTAATGCTTCCCTGCACTGCACAGACGCTGCATGGGAGTACATTTCAATGGGTAGCACTATTGCATAGAACACCGGCTCCAATCTCTCACTTAAAAAAATCCAGCAGAGAGAGAGCCGTCTCATTCATGAGCGACACATCACGATGAGATAACATTTCTAATATGGCAACCGCCATTGTAAGGATTTCTAACGCCTCTTCAGAAACAAATGGGTGACGTCAGTGAGACCAGTTTTATACAGTCAACGGGTTGAAGGCATAAAAGAAAAACAACATTCAGAAATTGTGAATCTTCTCGCTGTTACTACGCCTTTGTTGGGGTGACTTCTGTCTTCCTGATTTTCACAGTCATGTCTTCCTCATTTAAGCTGTTGTTAGGTGGGGGTTGTTTCTTTATTAAATGGACAATTATGAAATCGTGAAACAGACTGTGGATCATCTTAGGATTCATTCAGCCATGGTCAGACAACATCTAATGCCATACAATGATTGGCAATCATTGACAATCAATGGAAAAGTCTTCATCTTCACAGTGTTGCTTATATTCTGCTAGAAGGTACAGCCCACAGATTCTTGTCCACTTGGATACATCTCTAAAAGGCTGGAAAAAAGACATCAGATCCATTAAGCATCGTAAATATCAGACATATACATTTCTTCAGTCTCAGAGTCACGTTTCCTTTTCAGCTCACAGCAGACACTTCAATCCAAATATAACTCTGCTGCTACGAGGTCTCTAACACGTATGTAGTACAGCTACACAAACCTAAAAGAAGAATTACTCTGAGATGGTTGACACAATTGAAAAGATATATCCAGAAAATTATCAAGATTAATGAATTCATGAAAATATGTACTAACAGCCCGGCAGTGTAGAAGAGTAAATGCTCTTGAACAATCAGACAGAGACGTATGGCTTGTGAATTGAGGATCTGTTTATGTTATAACATCCCAATCATCCTTTTATGGGCAATCAACACACTGAGCAATTACAACATGTGTGCTATATAAAGACCATTTCCTAGAAGTTTCTTGGACGGACACCTGGTCTATTACCAGGAAAGAGTGGGTTGGGTATGTGTGAAGGTGTGTCAGAACATGACCTTATGACCTGGCCAAATTCAGAGGTTAGATACTTATTGGTTTGTGCTTGTTGCTGTCCAGATTGTGTGTTTCTGTTATGATTCAACCTTTCAAACTACAACACAATCCCCCCTTTTGGGGGTCAACAAACCCACAAACAATAACAGATCAACACATCATTACTACAATAGTCATCAATAACCAATAATCAATATAAGTAAGGGCGAAAAACCTGGACCTGCTCCTTTCCCAGGAAAATTCCCCTGCGACCCCCAAAAAAGATATATTTCTCTTTAGGGTGATCACTCAAGGTTTATATTGATTTACACAGATACATGTATTTAACAATAATTAACTAATTAACTAAAATTAACTAAACTAAAATGCATTAACTAAAATGCATATAATGAATCAAACCATTTTTAAGTATTTGTAAGCATAAGCTAAGCAGAGTCAAAGTCAGCACTTGCTTGATATTGCAGTTTCTCTAAGAATCACATGTAAATCCCCCTAAAACAACCTTTTCTTTTCTGTTAGCTCTCAGGTCATATGTGATAAGTGTGGCAATCAGGAGGTTGTTTCGCCGCGCAGTGAAGGTGATCGGGGCAGTTTCAATGATTCGAGCTCAATTTACACTCGATATTTATAATGCAATTAAGCGCCGACAAGCTCCGGGTTTATTTGCACGACGCCGTGCAGGATTGGAGCGATTATCACTTCACCCTGCTCCTCAAAGAGACTAGAAGGTTTTATTATTGAAATTAAAAAATATAAATTATTTTAATTTAAATCACCCCCTCAGATCTTTTCTCATTACCACCTCGTCCAATTGGATTACCGATGGCCACGGCTGTGATCTCAGCCTCGCCCCCCCCCCCGTCCGGTTCACCCGTTGTGAGGACACTTCTGGCATTTAGTTGATCATTTTCATAGGTGTCGCACGTGCAGTGGCCCCAATATCGCCCGTCGTCACTCATCATTAGCACGTTTATGACCACGCGTCCACCGGCGGCCCTCGCGGGGAATTCAACCATTTGCATAGAAAAATTGCTTTCCTCCATGCGACGAGGAAAGGACTGTTTTGCATAATTACAAATGATGTGCGGCTGCCGGACCAGACTGACATGTGCACGTGGGAGAATTAGGAGGAGAATGAGGCTGTGATTGATATGATGTGTGTCGGAGGACATCAGGGACGATCACAGCTTTAAATGATTTGGTTTCATGCGTTGCAAGCCGGAGGATTTTATTTCCTTTTTTTTTTTGTAGGAAAATAAAATGAAAGTGTTATTTCCAGCATACAGAGAAGCTGCAGGTGGTTTATAGCTCCGTGCTGCAAGTCATCCTGTGTGTGTGTGTGTGTGTGTGTGTGTGTGTGTGTGTGTGTGTGTGTGTGTGTGTGTGTGTGTAAAATTATGACTAAGTGAAGTTTTTTCTAGAAAAATATGCACAAACGCAACATAGAGTATCAGCACATTGGTGGAGGTACCAGGGGAGGGGAGGGGATTTTTTTTTACCAGAATCCCACTGTGACATCACAAGGAGAGCAAATTTGAAACAGAGCATTTTTCTCTGTGTTGTAAGACTTATGCAGACCACAAACAAAGGACTGGATGGGTTTATTTCACATTTTGTGGGTCAGTAGACTCTCAGGTTACCTAAATAAATGTTCATAATATGTCCCCTTTAACATTTTGTGTAAGTTTAATGCTAATGTTTTTATTTTGTGTATCTAATTTCCATGTTTTTTATAATCTATCAGCTGCAGTTTCACAGCTAAAAGCGAGCAGTTTTCTTCATGGCTCTGAGCAGCAGAGTAAAACATCTGAACTGTCTCCATCTCTAACGGGTGCTGCATCCACATCGATCCGTCTTCACTCACATCTAAGAGAAAAAGCCCAAAATCTTCACGTCACATGAAAAGTTGGAGCTCACTTTGGATTCTGTTTCTTGTTGTGAAGCTCTTTAAAAGTTCTTCAGTAATC